ACGACAAACAAGACAGAAACCCATTATAATTGGTGATGCTGTCTACACCAGATTCAGTGTGACACGACAAACAAGACAGAAACCCATTATAATTGGTGATGCTGTCTACACCAGATGCAGTGTGACTCCACAAACCAGACAGAAACCCATTATAATCGGTGATGCTGTCTACACCGGATGCAGTGTGACACGACAAACAAGACAGAAACCCATTATAATCGGTGATGCTGTCTACACCGGATGCAGTGTGACACGACAAACAAGACAGAAACCCATTATAATTGGTGATGCTGTCTACACCGGATGCAGTGTGACACGACAAACAAGACAGAAACCCATTATAATCGGTGATGCTGTCTACACCGGATGCAGTGTGACATGACAAACAAGACAGAAACTCATTATAATTGGTGATGCTGTCTACACCGGATGCAGTGCGACACGACAAACAAGACAGAAATCCATTATAATTGGTGATGCTGTCTACGCCAGATGCAGTGCGACACCACAAACCAGACAGAAACCCATTATAATCGCTGATGCTGTCTACACCGGATGCAATGCGACACCACAAACCAGACAGAAACCCATTATAATCGATGATGCTGTCTACGCCGGATGCAGTGCGACATCACAAACCAGACAGAAACCCATTATAATCGGTGATGCTGTCTACACCGGATGCAGTGTGACACGACCAAAAAGACAGAAACCCATTATAATCGGTGATTCTGTCTACACCGGATGCAGTGCGACACGACAAACAAGACAGAAATCCATTATAATTGGTGATGCTGTCTACGCCAGATGCAGTGCGACACCACAAACCAGACAGAAACCCATTATAATCGATGATGCTGTCTACGCCGGATGCAGTGCGACACGAGAAACCCATTATAATTGCTGATGCTGTCTACACCAGATGCAGTGCGACACGACAAACAAGACAGAAATCCATTATAATTGGTGATGCTGTCTACGCCAGATGCAGTGCGACACCACAAACCAGACAGAAACCCATTATAATCGATGATGCTGTCTACGCCGGATGCAGTGCGACACGAGAAACCCATTATAATTGGTGATGCTGTCTACGCCAGATGCAGTGCGACACCACAAACCAGACAGAAACCCATTATAATCGCTGATGCTGTCTACACCGGATGCAATGCGACACCACAAACCAGACAGAAACCCATTATAATCGATGATGCTGTCTACGCCGGATGCAGTGCGACATCACAAACCAGACAGAAACCCATTATAATCGGTGATGCTGTCTACACCGGATGCAGTGTGACACGACCAAAAAGACAGAAACCCATTATAATCGGTGATTCTGTCTACACCGGATGCAGTGCGACACGACAAACAAGACAGAAATCCATTATAATTGGTGATGCTGTCTACGCCAGATGCAGTGCGACACCACAAACCAGACAGAAACCCATTATAATCGATGATGCTGTCTACGCCGGATGCAGTGCGACACGAGAAACCCATTATAATTGCTGATGCTGTCTACACCAGATGCAGTGCGACACGACAAACAAGACAGAAACCCATTATAATCAGTGATGCTGTCTACACCGGATGCAGTGTGACACGACAAACAAGACAGAAACCCATTATAATTGGTAATGCTGTCTACACCGGATGCAGTGCGACACCACAAACCAGACAGAAACCCATTATAATTGGTGATGCTGTCTACACCAGATGCAGTGTGACACGACAAACAAGACAGAAACCCATTATAATCGGTGATGCTGTCTACACCGGATGCAGTGTGACATGACAAACAAGACAGAAACCCATTATAATAGGTGATGCTGTCTACACCAGATGCAGTGCGACACCACAAACCAGACAGAAACCCATTATAATAGGTGATGCTGTCTACACCAGATGCAGTGTGACACGACAAACAAGACAGAAACCCATTATAATCGGTGATGCTGTCTACACCAGATGCAGTGTGACATGACAAACAAGACAGAAACCCATTATAAACGGTGATGCTGTCTACACCGGATGCAGTGTGACACGACAAACAAGACAGAAACCCATTATAATCGGTGATGCTGTCTACACCAGATGCAGTGTGATATGACAAACAAGACAGAAACACATTATAATCGGTGATGCTGTCTACACCGGATGCAGTGCGACACAAGTTTGCGAACGGTAAATGTACAGCCTTTTCTATTCAAGCATCGTGTGTAGACACAGTGTTAAAATGCTGCTCAGTTCACTAGGTTTTGGAACAGATCCACATCTTCATCGCTTTGTAGAGGATTTAAACTTAGCTCTTGCTAATCTTGTTCAAATGTTGTTTGAAAATATGGATAACTTGTGTTTTTCCAAACCCACTGTGCTGGAAGTCAGCTGGAGTAAATTTTTATCATTCAACAAAACCCATATGTTCTGAGATATGGAAGGAGTCAAAATGAATGTACACGGTCTATATTACATTATAATATTCACTTAAAGAATACAGCAGGACACTTACACAGTGAACAACACTGTCACCTGACCACATACACACACAGCACGCCCAATTGCATGTGTCTATTTACTAGAAAAGCAATCAGACTTCAATAATAAGCCACTTTTGGTACAATTGCAAAATTTATATCAAACTATTTTTTTTGTTCATATAAATATTTTTTTTTTTCTGTTTTCGTTTTCCGGAAAGAAAAACAACATTTTGTTAGTTGAAGTAAGACATCGGAGACCATTTGCTAACGATTCAACAATAAAGCCTGTGTTAAGTTGCTTCTGGAAATTAAATGCGACCAGCCCATCCATACAAAGCACAGAACAACAAAACTACAGCTCTACGACTGAACAAAGCTATGATCAACACTTCACCAACACGGTTCACCAACTAACAGCAAATAAATGCCTCATCTCTGCCATGTTTTTGAGGAAAGGCTTTTTCTCATAAGTCATGTCTGCAAAAGATGAACGTCACCTGCCAGACAGTTCAACTGCTCTCCCATGCATAAATACTGTAGTTTATTGCCTCTCCTGCTCATATTCCTCAGAATATAACTTGTAAACATCATTCCACTAATGGAATTGAACTCAACAGGAAAGAAATTTGATAACTGAAAATAATTGTGAATTACAAGATCCTTCCTTTATACCATTTCTGATAGTACAGTGAATACGTTTATCCCATCAGTCAGTGGACAATAACAAGCACAGGCGACTCAAATTGGATCTCAAGTGGACACAAAAACTTTTCGCAGAATGTCCTTTTCCATACGGTGAAAGCATATAGTTACCATATCTCACATAGCCCTGAAAGAATTTAAAAAGTACCATGAAAGGATATTACTTTTGCATTTGGTTATTCATTAAATACTCCATCAGCGCTTGCACATTAGAGGTCCTCACGGGTCCACTTCGACTGGAAAACCCGAGGTGCGACCCGAGACTCCAGCGGGTTCGAGTCCAAACCTCTGACGAGAGCCTCGGACACGGGTCAGGTCCGATCTTAGCTGCCCCGGTCTCAGGTCACTTTAAATAAATGTGCTTTTACCCGAATAGACCAGAAAAGACCAAAATTCTTGTAAAATGTGCCAAATTTCCATTATTAGTTTTGTGTGCTTAACAATATTTTATTATTTAAAAGAAATTCTATGTTACTCTGTCAATCTGTTCTTCTGTGTAAATGCCTATTTCCTTATTAACAGTAATATTTTGTGCAATATGGCGGTTTATCTACTTATCTACTGGCCCAAGCGAGATACTCAAACTGTTGCCAGGTATTGATTACAAAAACAAAAAAATCTAAATGATTGCAAACAATTAAGCCATGACTGTTTGACTTCTTGTTTTTCTTCAAACAAAACTACGTGTGAAATCCCCCAAAAACATAGTCTGCACATTTTTGAAGTATAGGCTACATAATCTGGGAACATGGCTTATGTAAATGTTGAACAGATGATTGGAGAATTAATTGAGCTACAAATAAGAGATGGGCATATTTTAAAAGTTACAAGTGTTTCTTCACTTTCAACCTGTCAAAGATGAAGTCACCACAAGCCAATGGCATACAGGGATGCAAGCATGTGAAGCCTTCGGCTAATACTATGGGGGCACTGGATAGGTTTTTCTTTTATTTTTTGATGTATTTATGAGTGTCGTTTTTGGGTAGGAAGTGATTCTGGTCGATCCATGCCAGCTACAGATCATGAATGAACGAGGCTTTCATTACTGTACTCCCAGAGCGCTTTATCATTATATCAGGGACCCATGAAGATCTCTAATTCACATCTTTGACTTCGGTTTGCCTAGATGCTCCTCGTCAGGATGAACGGTATGGTCAATGGTACGAATGGTACCAACGGACGAATGGTCAACTGTATGCTTATTCTGTATGGAAAAATAAACCAACACATAAAAGCTCTCCTTTGTGTTCTACGGACCAAGTAACACGGGTTTAGTACCAAACAACGGTGATAATTTTTGTGTTAAGCTCAAGTCTGCAGTGTTGTAGTCGAGACCACCTCCCTCGAGTCAAGACCGAGTCCATAGAGAGTCGAGTCCGAGACCAGAGACGGTCGAGTCCAAGTCGAGACCGAGACCAGTGAGGGTTGATTACCTAATTTACTTTTATTTACTTAGAGAAATCCTTTTTTTTTTTTTACTGAATTTACTTAGAGTTTAAAAAATATGATCAGTTTAGGGTAAAAAGGCCACATAGTAGGTGGTGTTAAAAGTAATTTTATTACAATTTGTCATGCGCAGTTGCGCACTAGAAAATCACCAATCACTGGGCGTGTCAATCAGTTTAAAGAAATATTTTATTAACATACATTAATAATCATGAAAAAATATTTTGAATTGAACTCGAGTGGACTCGGGAATAATTCCGAGTCCTAAAAAAAAAAATGTTCGAGTACGAGTCAATTCCGAGTCCAAATGCACACGAGTCCATGACAAGACCAAGACCATTAAAATATGGTCTCGAGACCGAGTCCGAGACGAGTCCGAGTCTCGAGTACTACAACACTGCAAGTCTGTATAAAATTGAATCTCAATTTTTTTTTAAATCTTTTTCGGAGAGATTTTAGAGTTGTCTGTTTACACTTTTTAATCAAAGAGTAGATTTCTGAATGTTTTAGCGCGAGTATCATTATCTGATTAATGAAACGTTGATATAAATTTGACAAAACAAGAGTTGTGATTGACAGATTGATCTCTAAAAAGAAATGATAAGTGCTTTATCTTTTTCTGAGAGATTCGGTTTACACTTGTTTAGAGTAGATTTCCGAACAGACTTTAGCGTGAGTAAACCTGTGATGGATACGCTTGCAGAAGTGCTCCGGGTCAGGGCATTAAGAGCGCGCTTGTGTTTTGGACTTGACGATGGTGATGACGCTGGTGGTGGCCACTTTAGTGACGGGACCCCTGTGGGCCACAGTCCTGGCGAAGCTCTGGAGAGCCTCATATTTGGAGCGCAGCAGCTCCAGCTCGGCTTTGATGCTGGCGTTCTCCGAGACCAGCTTCTCCACCTCGTGCTGGAGCTCGATCTTCTGCTTCTCCAGCTCCTCCTTCTGCGTCACGCGCTTCACTCGACAGCTGGCGGCGTAGCCTCGGTTTTTGAGCGTGCGTCGACGCTGTTTCAGCTGCAGGATTTCATCTTTGGTCAGGCCGCGCAAGTGCTGGTTCAGCTCTCGCACAGACATGGACACCAGTTCATCATCCGTGAGACTCGTGCCATTCTCACCTGGCTCTCGCTTCACCTGCAGACCAAGCCAAGACACCTTCACTTATACAGATTGATTCAAAGCAGCTTCACAGCGATAATAAGTCTAATAAGTAACAGAGATTGCAAAGTTAGTTGCATATCTTATAATCAGTATAATGTCTGTTGGAGGATCATCACAATAAAGAGTTAGCAGATATTAAGTAGAGAGTCTACTAATACTTTAATGAGAGATAGTTGGCATGTAGACTCTCTGCTTAATATCTGCTAACTCTTTATTGTGATGATCCTCCAACAGACATTATAGAGGGTATCCTGCAGTTCCTCACAATGAGTGGCAAAAAGACTGAGCGGCTGTATGTGTTTTCAGCGTGAATGCCGCAAAAACAAACACAACACATATAAAGTGGGAAAGAGCTTTGTGATTGACTGAACAACTAGATTTGATTAAAAAAAAAAAATCAGAGGTATATTTTTACAGACTGCTATAGAAAGAGGAGCAAATCGATCGAAACAACTGGACTCCAGTCAGCGAAAGGTGGATCTGCAGTTATCATTTTGTGTCAATTGAGGTGGAAAACCATACCCATTTATTTTGTATTGTTATAATAACTCATCAATTCAATATTTATCATTTCATATTCTGCATAATTTGATGTTTTTTAATAAACACTGACCAAAAAAAACTCTAAAGTTTTAGGGCTGGATGATATGATATATATATAGGCTATATTTAACACTGATATGAGTGATAACCCGGATTTAGACCGACCTATATTGTATTTATATAAAGCATTCACAGGCAAATTTGCTTTATGTTTAGGTCTATATTGCTTTTATTTCCCCGGTGTCGAAATCAGGCAAACATAAATGTCAGGCAACACATCTCCTGGCTGCATGTCAATATCCATGGATCACTGGATCTTTAGTAAGTTGTAAGGAACACTACATTGAGTCCAACATTTAGTTTAAATTGATAAAATAGTTCGTTTTAGTCGCATTTTCGCAGTTTCCCCTATTAAATCCAGTCACGTAGCAGATCTTTTGCCACTCGGTCAGGCTGAGGGGGGTTGTTTCGGTGGGAAAGTGACGTCAATGCATTCCATCTATTCTAAGAAGAGTATTAAATCACATAATAAATCACAATATAATCATATTTGGTAACACTTTACTTGAAGGGGTGTGCATAAGACTGACATGACACCTTCATAACCATGACATGACATGTCATGAATATGAAGGAAGCTTTATGCATGTTTACGACTGTTGTCATTAACTGTCATTCGCTCAATTATGACATTTTTAATGCAAATATGACATTGTTTGAGATGTCTTGACAGAAACCAATACATCATAACCTGACATTACAACTTGGCATTACCAAGACAACATAAATTGTCATAAACATGACAAAGCAGATTAATGATCAAACTTAAGAAACCACAGTCTAGCTTTATGGGTTAACATTACATTAAATTGTCAGGTGGTTGGTTTTGACATCCAAAATAAAACCTCCTTCATATGTCATGTCATGATTATGGAGGTGTCATGTTAGTCTTATGCACACCCCTTCAAGTAAAGTGTTACCAAATATGATTATATTGTGATTATGTGATTTAATACTCTTCTTCTGCTGTCTTAAAGGGATAGTTCACCCAAAAATGTAAATTCTGTCAGTATTTACTCACCCTCATGTTGTTCCAACCCTGTAAGACCTTCGTTCATCTTCGAAACATGAATTATGATATTTTTGATGAAATCTGAGAGCTGGATCACTCCTCCATACTAGTCCATAGGCTTCTTGAGGAATTTAAACTTGCCATCCTCGAATAGTTATTAAAAACATTGTTAAAATAGTCCATGTGACTACAATGACTCAATCTTAAAGGATTAGTTCACTTTTGAAAAAACTTTTGCTGATAATTTACTCACCCCCATGTCATCCAAGATGTCCATGTCTTTCTTTCTTCAGTCGAAAAGAAATTTAGGTTTTTGATGAAAACATTCCAGGATTTTTCTCCATATAATGGACTTCAATGGGAACCGGACGGTTCAAGGTCCAAAAGACAGTTAATAACAGTTTCAGATGCAGCTTCAAATGTCTTTAAACGATATCAGACGATGAATAAGGGTCTTATCATGCGAAACGATCGGTTATTTCAAAGCTTATTCCAAAAATGTAACTTTTTTAAGGACAAATGCTAGCCTTGCTCCATTCTGTGAGGCGCGTTTGTAACGTCACGTAATACGTAATTACGTTCAAAAGGTCACGGGCGATGTAGCCGGAAGTACAGAATCAAAATCGTCCGACATCGTTGTTTTCCCTTTTAATTCCTTTTTTGTAAACGGCGTTTGAGTTAGTTTTCACGTTCAACCTATGCGTTCAACTTGTAAACACTCTGACTCTGTACTTCTGGCTACGTCGCCCGTGACCTTTTGAACGTAATTACGTACTACGTGACGTTGCAAACGCGCCTCACAGAATGGAGAAAGGCTAGCATTTGTCCTTAGAAAAGTTACATTTTTGTAATAACTTTCGAAATAACCGATCGTTTCGAATGATAAGACCCTTATTCATCGTCTGGTGTCGTTTAAAGACATTTGAAGCTGCATTCCAGGAAAAACCTAAATTTCTTTTCGACTGAGGAAAGAAAGACATGGACATCTTGGATGACATGGGGGTGAGTAAATTATCAGCAAAAGTTTTTTCAAAAGTGAACTAATCCTTTAACTTTATCAAACGACGAGAACACTTTTTGAGCGCAAAAACAAACAAAAATAACGACTTTATTTCAACTATTCATTTCCTTCTCTCTGGGCCTCGAGTCAGGTTACTAGTTTAATAGCGTATGATCTGTTGTTGTACGTCACACACATTACACACATGACCAGCGTCAGCCAATAGTGAGCCTGCGTGTGATGTATGCAATTTCACTAGTTTAACTGAATAGAGGCGCAAAGAGAAGGAAGTGACTAGTTGAAATAAAGTCTTTATTTATGTTTGTTTTTTGCGCACAAAAAGTATTCTCGTTGTTTGATAAAGTTAAGATTGAGCCGCTGAAGTCACTTGGACTATTTTAACAATGTCTTTAATAACTTTTCGAGGCCGGCAAGTTTCAATCCCTCAAGAAGCCTATTTTAGTATGGAGGAGTGATCCAGCACTTAGATTTCATCAAAAATATCTTAAAGGTATAGCGGAGGATCTTTCCGAATTTTAGAGAAGACCCGCCCTCTCCAATTTTTTTAAAAATGCACATGCACATTTGCTCCCGAGAAGGATAGCTATTACGCCTTGCACAATTAGCGAACTCATTGGCTAATCATAGCTTACATTAACTTTTACTAGCAGTGATTTTAAATGGATGTCTCCAAATAGCGTGACAAACTTTACCTGTCTAGTAGAATCTTCGCGACTGCGGCATCAGTGGGAAGCCCAACCTGTGCTTTTAGCGCACGCCAGTGTGTGAAATATTCACCCAAAATCACTCTGGTCTTGTTTCTATATTCTGCGGCCTTTCTCTTCTTATCATTCACTTCGTATACATTTTTTTCTCTTTCGACCCTCAGCCATTTTCAAAGGAATGGCTGAAACCGTAACTCATCACACATAACTCATTCACCTGAAAGTGAAAACTACATAGGGACGAGCACGTACAACGGCCTTACGTAAACATATCACCAGAATGATTGACACTTAGGTGGACCAATAGTATAGACTACCCACCCGGAAAAAGAAAATCCTCCGCTATACCTTTAATTCTTAAATCTTAAGTCTTACAGGGTTTGAACAACATGAGGGTGAGTAAATACTGACAGAATTTTTGGGTGAACTAACCCTTTAAGCTTTGCATTGTGATTTGTAGACACTTGCATTTGAAAGCTCATCTGAACACACAGTACCTTGAGTGCTTTGTTTCCCTTGTTTGTAGTAGTCATGCCACGAGAGCCTCTCTCCACTGCCCCGCTCGACAGGTCTGAGAACACAACACACACACATGCTTCTCAGGTCATCAGGCTCACAACTCAATTCTGAATACATGCAATGAACTGCTATGTTAACCTAGAATATGTTCATTTCAAACAAAGTTTGAAACAAGAATCGAACAAAAAATGAGGTTTTCTACTTTAGTGCAGTTCTACTATTCAATAAATGAAAAAAAACAAACAAAAAAACGTAAGTAAACATCTCGTCAACAAGCCATCCTTCATGTCAAATCACTAACCCCAAGTATGTGCAACATTAGGGGTGGGTATGATATGACCAAAACCTTACATCATTATGATAAACATTGTTATTTTTGCTTTAAATACAGTTTTAATCGTCAAAAATATTAATACAACAAAAAACGAATACTTAACGCATAACCATGGTGTAACAGTACCACATAAAACAGAACGGCAAGATATAATGTGGGCCTGAACTGTGATAACATGTACCGTTTCAGTTGCTTGCCTTGAATAGCATTACTAACACACGATAAAACAGTAGAAAATTGTTAAACAGTAGACATGTTTGATTATCGCATGATGTTGTGGTGTGCCATCACGAAAATGTATTTTTTGCATGCGTTTTAAAGCCTTGCGGTTTAAAAATTGAATCCTCACACACGCAATTGTGAAAGCGAACTCATTGGGTATATGCACTCTGAGAGATGCCTGAGAGACGGTTTCTGAGCACGCACACACACACACACACACACACACACACACACGAAACCTTGTACATAACTCGCATAAGGAGTGCTGAAATGGTTGGTGCCTTATTGGGTTTGAACTGAATACAAAAACGTATGTGTCAAAATGCCCATCATGCGAGTATCCTGTAAATGCAGTCCTGTCTTATTGGAATATAAACAGTACATATGTATCAGTATATTAATTAGATCAGAAACTCTCTCACTGCTCTTGAACGGATTTTTTTCAGTGAAGACTATGCAGGATTTTTTTTTGTACATTAGATTGCTTTATATAATTTAGATCTTGTTTCTAGTGCTTGAAGTTGAATCTATTTCATTTGTCTTTGTTGTTTTACAGTTTTGCAGTAAAGAATTGCCTCAGACTCCTTACTTTCACCAATATTTACATTTATCCCAAGGACTTTCATTGCATTGAAAGGTACAGATTTACATTCTTATCAGTTCTTGCTTTTCCCTGTTTATTGGTTCCAATATTGTTTTTACATTTATTTGACAGACAGGTACAAGTCAACAAGGCAATCCCAAAATTGGAGTCAGTAAACAGGCAAAAGACAATTCTCAAATCAAACAATCTCAGCCTGCAGGAGCCAATGAGATGTTATTTCCTAGACACCCCCCCCCCCCCCAAAAAAAAAAAAAAAAAAAAAAAAAGAGACAAAACTATAGGGTTGTAACAGCAAGGCACAGCAATAAAAAGCGTTTACAAACAACCAAAAGTGTCTCAGAAGCACCACACTGCTGCCATCTGGGAAGATAACAACTAAAAGCAACAACACACACACTGAACTGAAGCACCAAGAGTTCACTCATCGTGGATTACACTCTTCCGTGGGGATGAAAATGAAGCAGATGTGTAACAGTGGGGATGTTATCACACGGGCAGAGACAGCAGCATCTATCAGACATGCTTCTCTCCACACACACACACACACACAGACATCTTGGTAACACTTTACAATAAGGTTCATTATTTAACAAGTTAATGTATTAACTAACATGAACTAACCATGAGCAATACATTTGTTACAGAATTTGTTAATCTTCGTTGATGTTAGTTAATGATAATAAAGCTGTTCATTGTTTGTTCTTGTTAGTTCACAGCGCATTAACTAATGTTAACAAGATTTTGATAAATTATTAGTAAATATTTAAATTAACGTTTACAAAGATTAATAAATGCTGTATAAGTGCTGTTCATTATTAGTTCATGTTAACTAACGTTAACTTATGAACCTTATTGTAAAGTGTTACCGACATCTTGAGAATAATAATCCCTAAGCATAACAACACCGCAGGACCTGTTGGATGTGGGTTACAGCAGGGTTAGCTGAAACAAAGACAGATCACAATGATCCATCCAAATACATTCATTACTATTTTTGCAAACCGTCACATCTCATCCATTTCCACATCCAGACTGATGTAAACTACAACACATTCATTTCTTTGAGTACCCTGCTGAGAGAGAGACAGAAATAATATAATAGATTGTGTTAAAATAAACAGTTCCAGTCTCTGTTTTTACTTATTTATTTTAATCTGTTTTTGCTTTTGTTTTTATCAGATGATTATATAGGCTAAGGAATGGGACTGTGACATCAGCAACGCTATGCATGTTGGGACTTTTGGACACAGAAGCTGAAGTAGATACGGCCAGAGCCCGTCTAACGGAGAGCTAATAAGTACAGTTTAGGTGTTAATTGTCCATTTTAGGTGCTAATAAGTACATTTTAGGTGTAAATATGTACATTTTAGGTGCTAATAAGTACATTTTAGGAGCTAATATGTACATTTCAGGAGCTAATATGTCCATTTTAGGTCCTAATATGTACATTTTAGGTGTTAATATGTCAATTTTAGGTCCTAATATGTCCATTTTAGGTGCTAATATGTTCATTTTAGGTCATAATATGTCCATTTTAAGTGTTAATATGTACATTTTAGGTGTTAATCTGTACATTTTAGGTGCTAAAATGTACCATTTTAGGTGCTAAAATGTACCACGGTACCAATATGCATCTTTTGGGTACAAAAGTGTACCTTTTGAAAAGGTACAGCCCCAGTGACAACTTTTGTACCTTTTTTTCTGAGAGTGTACAGTACACTTGAGAGATTCTTACAGAAACACCGGTAGTACCCAACCATTCCAAGAAATCGACGTACCTCTCTAAAGTGAAAAAAATCGAAAGTGTCCTTTAATATAAATGGTTGAGATCCTCATAAAGAAGTTTAACTGTTTATTGGTATGACTGCACGACTCCCATATCACCTCCTTTAGCTCATAACAAGCTTAAACAGTGACCTTAACAATCACGTAGCTGGAAACAGGTATAGGAGCACAACATCAGCTCTCCCTCCCGAATCGACACTCTCCCATCTCATATTCCAACCAGTACGCCGTTACCGAACAGGCTTGCAGGTGCAGAACTTAACCTCAAAAGAGAAAACGAACTATATCAGCACAGAGAGAATACACAAACACACAACAGGAGTCTTCACAACTATTACAACTTTGAGTATTGCCACCAAGTGGACTCTTCTGTCTCAATATTTGGCTAGCGCATGCGCCGTTTTACATGCGCCATTCGTGTGGGAAAAAAATTGGCCTGCATGTGGGTGTATATCTGCGGACCATCCTGATGATGGAAATTACAGCAAGCTGACGGTTGCAAAATGTGGACGGTTGAAGTATGCTTTTGGGCTTTAATCACTTGTATTTTACGTATCTTATAAACTTTATTTCTTTTACATTCATGGTATTCATTTAGTAGTTTGAGTCTCTAGGCTCACGGCGCCCTAGAAACAAATATTTCATATGATTTTGGCGTGAAGATAAAGGTTATGATTAGGATTTATTTGCACAGTTGTTTGCTTTAGGAAAGTGATAAGAATGCTTGAAAGCCTGAATGAAAACACTGAGTTACGGCATTAACAAAGAGGGCAGGTGAATAAATGAAGAGAAAGAAACAGAAAGGAGGAGAAATAAAAGAACAAATAGAGCAAGGGAACATGGGGGGGATGGTTGGAGGAAACAGCCTTGTGAAAAATGCACCCTCTGCACATTTGGGCTAGCTTGCAAAATGAAGGGTAAAAACCCCTGATCTCAGCAAGGTCCCCAACCAAGGCACCAATTAGGAAGTTGTAGCTGAACTTAAAAGACTAGAGCGTTCATTTCCAACCTTCAAACCCTGGCAGCATTCATAAATTTAGAGGATGCAATGATACATAAATTACAGTATGCATACATATGATAAATGCTGAGCCAACAAAAGCACTGTGGCCTTATGCCCTTGTGTCATGTGTTAATGATTGCTTTCCTTTACCGAGTCCTCAGGGACTAGGACTAGTCCACAGATGGATGCCATTCGGCCGGGCTATGCTAAAGAAACACGGACCTGCCCCATTTACCTGTCCTCTACAGCACAATGTGACCTATCAATAAAATAAAACACTGAAGACACACACGGCTCGTTGGAACACCTGATTTTTTTTTTGTAAAGCATTTCTTTATAACAAGCTTCTTTATTATCCACTTTCTCATATCACTCCATGATTGCTTCTCATACAATAAATAAAGGAGCATGAAACATAATTCTGAGCACATTAATAAATAATAAAATCGTTATTTGATTATTGCTGCTTTGAAACAATGTGTATTGTAAAAAGCGCTCTCTAAATAAAGGTGACTTTACTAAAGTAAAAACGTATTATAATATTATTATTGTTAAAGTCCCCGTGAAATCAAAATTGAACCTAAATAGGTAAATACTAAATAGTAAATACTTTGTTAGCGCATATTACTAGTATTGTGGTGAACAATTAATCCGTGCAAGTGAATATATATTAAAAAAATGTTTCACCTTAGTAATCTTTAATCAAAATCTGAAAAGTTACTTCCGGTCTGGAACGGTTTCTTTTTCTGATGACGTAGGTTTCACAGTTTGGGTGGGGAAACGCTTAACCACTCCCCTCAAACCGTTAGTTTGCTATGAGCGAGAGATGGAGAGGAGGAGCGCTAGAGTAAAACCCTGCCCTCTGTTCAATATTCCGTTTCACTTGGAAATACGTCACAGCACTGGAGAAAAATCGTTTGCAACTTCCGGTTCACGGGGACTTTAAATACTCAATGTTATAATAAAACATGACAACAACAACAAAAAAACTATTCTGAAACAGCCATTCTTAAACAGGTTCTGCTCAAACATCTTCACTAACATTCTCTGGGTTCGATTCGGGCTCAAATTTGTATGGTTTTATTGACGCCATTGTTTATAATA